TGGTAATTAATTCATTAAGAGATGTCTGTAAAAAAACTATATTAAATGGCTGATGAAGGTGCTTTTCTTCTAAAATGTTACAGGTAGCTCATGCAGTCAGCTGTGAAGTGATTTGTAATGCTTCATGAATGACAGTATCTGAGATAAGTTGGTGAGACTACACAGCTATTTATCTTCCTTTTAGACATCAACAGTATCCTGAGTAAGGTCCCTGTGACCACATGAGCGCTATGCTGCTTCGAAGTGGGAGAAGGGCTGATTCAGGAAAGATGTAGAGCTACTGAAACTAGCCAGACCATGATGTCTCAGGTCCCAGTGGTTCTAATCCATGATGTTCCAGCTTGATGGACAGAATTATGTGCTTACATCAGAGCCTTGAGTAGAACTCTGAAAAGTGTTTTGAAAAGACAAAGCATTATTTTCAGTGATCTCCTGAAATCACCTGAGTTCATAGGGTAACACACTGGTTGCTTATTGGTCCAGTCTTTGAAAAATAGCAAAAAAAACACTGTGGAACTACTACTTCCAGATTTTTCCATCTTCTTGAATTTATCAACTTAAAGCCAAGAAGAGCCATCACTGTGTATCAAGGGGCTGCAAAATAAATATCCAGTTCTTCTCTTTTCTTCTTCCCTTTTTGGGGGTGAGAGGACAGGGTAGAGGGCTTTTACTTTTTTCTTTTCCTGCTCTTTAAATGCACTTGGGATCCATTCCAAAACCAGCTTCTCCTCTGTTCCTTATTTTATTTGTCAGACAGGATCCTTTACTCCAGACAACCATTCATTCACCAAGTCCTTTCAGTTCTGCCTCCTAAATATCTCTAGAATCTGTCCACTTCTCAGCACACCTGCCACGCTGTTCAGGTAACCATGTTCTCTCACCTGGATTCCACAGTCTCAAACAACTATTGCTCACCTCTAATGCTTTCCTGTACATCAGCCAGAAAAATGTTTCTAAAACATAAACCTGACATGTTTATGCTTAAAACCCTTTAGTGAGTTTTTGTTTACCAAAACAATCCAAACCCATTGCTGTCTAGTTGATTCCAACTCAGGGTGATGAAAAACATTTGGAAATGGATAGTAGTAATAGTTGCACAATATGGTGAATGTAATTAATGTCACTGAATTGTATACTTAAAAATGGTTAAAATGGCTAATATTTTGTTATATATGTTTTACCACAATAATCTTTTTTTAAAAAAAAAAGAAGAAAAAACTTATTAGTGGCTTTTTATTGTCTTTACAATAAAATTTCAACTTATGTGAAGTTTGTAAGACCTTCCATACCCAGATTCCTTCCTCACCTCTTCTGCTTCATCTCTTATCAACCACTTTCCCCCCAACACACCACCACACCACACACACCACACCACACACACCACACCACACCACACCACACCCACACAC